ATTCTTTAACTCAAGAGAAAACTAAAGATTACTACTTATTTCTTTCCCTTTTTAACAGCATGCATATGTAATTAAAATAAATTCTGGTCTATTATAAAATCAGAAGAAAATCAAATAGTAATAAAGAAAAATGAAATGAGAAATCAAAAATCTATTCAAAATAAGTCTAGAGGAGAGGATGCATAAGAACATGGAGAAATAAGAAGAGCAGGAGTGTAAATGGGGCAAAATAAAAATTCAAGAGCAAATGTAAGATAGAAATTCCAAAGTATTTTAAAAATCAATACAAAAAAGAAAAAAACTCCCAGGTAAAAACAAAGATTATCAAACATTGCTAGCTTGTGATAGGTATGCCCAGCTACAAACATCAACATGAGCAAATCTAAGAAAACAGAACCTTCAGACGGTAAATCCACTTAAATAAAGCTTGGGCAAAAAAAAAAAAAAATCTATGGATTAATGGCCTTATTAGTAAAGAAGCTTGCAGGAAATCCTGAATCTGATTCCCAAAAAGTGGCTGGAGAATACTAACTCCAAAGAGCTGTCACTGACCATCACACATGTGACTGTGTATACACACGCACACACGCGCACACACACACACACACACACACACACACACACAAAGCATAAGGACGGAAATACACTTTAAAAAATAAATGAGATAAACCAAGTTATCTGTTACTAAAGAATATGTGAAGAATAAAATTGCATTGGAAAACGAAGGAATGACAAATTCCAACGCTAGGACAGAACTTACCACAGGACAAGGGTATGATTTTTTTTTTAAAGGGACATGAACATTTGAAGGTCTCAATATTCCATAAGTCATCCCTGTAGGTAGGTGGCTTACTGCAGCTACAATCATTTCTTTAAATCTTTTAATATATTATTTAAAAAAATAAAAAACAGGCCAAAGTATTAGTAACATAAAATCTTTCTTTTAAAAACGTCTTCAGACTATGTTGTTCCCAGTGGGCACACAGAATCTAATCCTTGCCACTTGCCTCCAACACTAAAGGCACATGCTTCATGTTGTCAAGCCAAGACTGTTTACAAACTAGACTATAGAGTTGATACTCAATACACTAAATACTGACATGCAGACACTTTTGCTCATTTGGGTGTGGACTTCTTTCCCTGCATAATCTACTGAAACAACTTTGTCAAAGCTTTATGTATCAATTCTATCAAACTTACCTTCAAGATAGCCTAAGAAATTGTTTATAAAAGATGAGAAAATAACTCTTATGAAACTAAAAAGGGAATACACATACACACACACACACACACACACACACACACACATACACAAAATATTGCCTAAAATCAGAAAACAGAGATTTGTTATATTGAATTTCAGGAGACAGAAATTTTGCCCCTGACAGGTACATCAAACTTAGAAAACAAAGATACATTCTATAACTAATTTGGCATATGCATAAGTGGGTAAGAACTATAAATGCTTGAAATCAATCATAATGATATTAGTGTCTACCTGTTTCTGCTTTTACCCAATGCATTCAATCACTCAAACATAACTATTGGCTGTGTCAAGATTCACTGAAAGTTATATTTGGTAATACGAAAAAGTTAATCTTTTCACCAGTGTTCAAAACTAGCTACAAACTGTCACAGAGAATAATGAATAATCAATGAACCTCCTCAAACAGAAGAACTTTATAGTTTTGACATCAAATCTTTATTTAAAAAAAAAAAAGAAAGAAAAAGAAGAAGAAGCTGGTCTTTAACACCTTGCTCTCACATACGGTCCTATCTAGGTGATGGAAGACTAGCATGGCTCATACTGGGCAGGCAGCTAAAGAATTTGATGAACTGTTCTGTTCTGAGAATACCCCATAGCCAGAGGCTAGGGGAGGCACGTCATAATTTGGAGAGCAGAAAAGCTAGTTTTCCCTAAGTTTGGTTTAAATAAGTTCTGATCCTGAAGCAATATTATAGAACAGTCACTGATCAGTTTACTGGGTTTCATCCACAGCATTCACAAATATTAAATACTTTATGGAGACAACATGAAACACGTTTAATACCAGAACTTAGGAGCCCAAGGCATAAGGATTCCAAGCTCCAAGATAGCTAGACCCCATCTAAACAAACAAGAAAAAACTACTATCATGACAGTAAAACAGTGATATCCATTTGGTGATCTCATACATCTAATGATCAGAAATGCTTAGCCAGATAAGTCACATGTTATCTGGATAGAAGTAAACCTGAAGCTGAAGAGACATCGTAAGAGAAAAGACCAAAGAGTGGCACAGTGCCAAGATTTTCAAGCCATTCTTCTAGTGAAACACTGGAAGAACAAGTATTCGAGAAACTTCTCTTCAGAAATAATTGTTCTGACAAGAATTTCGATTCTTATTAGTTAAAAGGACTTCATGGAAACAATAAATTACCATAATACTTTACAAATCGCTTTGCCTAGGGGAGAAGATTCTACAAGTATTTGGTGGTATTTTAATGATTCTCTTTAAATAAGAATACAGGAAAAAATACACAACATCATTTCTCAGTATTTTGACATAACATTTCAACAAGTTATTCATGCCATCATCCTACACATGGATTTATATTAAACCTTTCCCTTTTGTCTCATCTTTTATCAGCACTATCTACTTTAAAAGGAGGAGGGAAGAGGCTTCTGCTGGGAAGAGGCTGCACATCACCAGTGACTTCCTCATGCTGGACTTCTATATTAGAAAAAATTACAAAGATCCCAGTGCCGTGTCTGCCAGGATAAGCAGAAATGCATGGAGTTGTCACCCATTTTACCCCAAAACACCCTTTGCTCCAATTAAGTTGCAAAGAAACATGGTTTTCTTTCCTAAGCCAAATACTAAATATAACACTTGGGGGAAAAGTAGGATTGTAATAACTATTTCTGTATGTGTGTCTGTGCATCTGTTTATACATCTACATAGGTATATTTGCACACGCATGTGGATTCCACAGTGTAGAGCAAACGTCTCACACAATACTCTCCACCATATTCAGTCTCTCACTGAACCCAGACCTTGTCACTCTGTCTAAACGGCTTGGCCAGAAAGTCACAGATCCTCCTGGATCTGCATCCTCAGTGCCAGGATTACAGCTACGCACCCCCACACCCCACTTGTTACATGAGCACTGGGGATACAAACTCGGGTTCCCAGATTTGTATGCCAACACTTTACCAACTGTGCCATCTCCCCAGGCATAAATATTCTTAAATTAATATATTTTACAAGAATAAATTAAGCTGGAAACACAAGTTGCTCTTTTATAAATATATCTATGAAATTCTTTAAGTTAAATCTCTTACTAATAAAAGGCAAGGCAAGATCAAAGAAAAAGGTGGAAATTAAAACTTTCTTGCCTTTCTCAAGTGTTATAGAACGTGAACTGCTGAAGAGTTAGCACACAGAAAAGCATCCTTCAGCTTTCATCCATATGGAGCCACAGTCTAAGAAACACACTACAAGTGAAAATTCATAAAACTTAAAACTAGCAAAGATTTTGTTGTTGTGGTTTACACTAATTCACTGCCATGTCTTAGAACCTAAGTCTTTTGTTTAACTACTTCTATAGTCAAAGACTTCTCATCTTATATTCAAGCTTGGAAATGTCCAAAAAATTACTCTTCACAGAGAATATTCACAGCAGTATGTTTCCCAAAACGACCAACAACGGCACTAGCCTATCACAGCTTTTCAAAGATTTACAGATACTACAGACATATATACATATGCATGTATTCTATCTAAAAACAACCATTCCTTAAACAACAAAAAGCCAACATCCAGATTTCTCAGATTTTCTTACTCACTACTCAAATATTGAATGACAACTTATGCTTAAATTTCTTCAAGAATATCCTGGTTAAGACATCATCAACCTAATTCAGAGTTAGTGTAAAGCTTCTATGAAAATTGAATTCTATCCTATAAAGTATCAAAATTAATACTTCAAATAACACATTGTTTTTAAATAACATGATTTTGTTTTGTGTTTTAACAAATACCTCCTACATTCCAGTAATCTGGCAAGTTTAAATGAGATCAGTTTATCATCATTATTTTATCTTTTTTATTTTTCACACATGGCATGAAATTTTTCTCAAAGGCATGAGAATGTAGCACAATCTGAAACACTGTGAAACTGATCTATAGAAAATTATATGGTATTTATATCACATAAATGATAACAGTTTAATTTGGTTTTAAAGTGGGTTTTGTAGTTTTGTTTCTTGTTCGTGAAGTCTAAAATTTTAACTTTAATGTGTACTCTTATGTTCTTTTATTTGTTAAATACAGCAACATTAATCTATGATCTTCTACATAAGATACCGTTTTTAAAAGAGGGAAAAAAGGAACAAGTGGTAGGCCTTGTTATATCATATAAGAATCAGCAAGCATTTTAACAATATGAAAATTGAAAGTAAAACATAATTGTATTAAAGTGATAGATTTTTATCTTGATTGTTTTTTCACAAAATATGTTTTAAAGGATTTCATAAAACGGCTTTAAGTCCATGTGTTATGTTTTACTATGTTTAGTAATAAAAACAAAGGTCCATTGAGATTGATTCTTCATCAATTTTCTTTAATTTCAATTTTTAGATAACCTTTTTTTTATTTTTGAGACTATAGTATTGCATCACGTCTTCCTTCCCTTTAATTCCTCCAAGACCTCCCATGTCCAACCCCTTGTCCTCTTTCAAATTCATGGCTTCTTTTTCTTTTGTTTTATTTACAACGTGTGGGAGTGTGCATGTGTATGTATGTGTGTGTAATCCTAAATACATAATTCATCCAGCTTAGTCTCTATAATGTTATTGTATGTATATGTTTTGAAGACCATTTGGTATTGGGTTTTTATTTTGAGAAACTGGTAATGTATACTAGCTATTTGCAGATGGAGTAAATATAAATGAAAGAATAGAGATATCCATTTAATTAAGTAACATGCCACAGTGACAACCAGGGGGTATTAATTACCTCACAGGATTACTGGTCAATGATACTCGCAGTGACTCCAGATATGTGGAAAGTCTCTCATCAGTATACCCCATTTTCAGCTCATGGATAAATTCCTGAGGTGAGATCTGTCGGCTACTTCTAAGACTTCCCTGTAAAACAAATAAAAAAAATTGTTTTTTAATTTATGCTACAATAAAGATTATCTATAAGAGATGAAATTTATCATAGTAATAACTAACAAAATTACTGTTTTGAGGTGAAATGTTGTTAGAACATAGAAAAATTGATTTTATTCACAATTGCTTTTAAAAATTACACTAAATGTTTTGATAATGAAAATGATTGCTTTTTCAAATGTAACAGAGAATTCAAATATTAAGACTCAACTTAAACAAATGAACTTACTGAACAAGACTTTGAGTACACAGGAAGAGCCATTAGTCATTGGTTCATTCAGTTGCCATTGCAAGTGTAATTTTTGGCACATGAACACACACACATGCATATAGAAACAGACACACACCGATGCATGGATACTTTCAGACAAAAACACAAGCATATACAAAAAGAAATAAAAAAGAATATTCAGTTGATAACAAAAGACAGACAATAAATTGGTAGAGTACCACTGTACTCTACCAATTTTCCAAGGGAGATTTCAGTAGGATCTATTTTATATAAACTATGGAACAGAAAAAAATGGAATTCCTTGGTTATTTGAAAAACATTAAATCCTCACTAGATACAAGCATATCAGTACAGTTTTAACGTTGAGAACCAAGCACACCTTTGGGCACAACCCCCAGTATCATCAAACACACACACACACACACACACACACACACACACACATTGTACTGTAAATAGTAAGCTTGTTAGTGAGAAAGATAAGCAAAATGCAGAAATATTCATAGTATAAAACATACAATTTTAAACACGGCAGCCAATGAGTGTCTCACAGGTAGGAATTCAAAGGCTTCTGTCATGCCTGCTTGAATTAACATCTAAGGAAACAAGACAGCTAAGCTGGCAGGTATTTTTTTTAAAGTGACAGAAGGGGCTGAGAGCTTCACAGGCCACAGAAATCGCGTGGACATATAACCCAAGATCAAAAGCAAAGACCAGTTCAGAAGGTATGCATGTGTCCCAGTTGGGAAATGAGGAAGACATCAGTGAACAATAAAGAAAGCTCTTAAAGTATACCTATTTAGAGACTAGATGTACAAAGGAAAGAAGTCGACCACGTTCAAAACTGGATTAAAAATCTAGCCCTTCTTTTATTCATTTCTTTTTTTTTTATTAATTGCCAAAACATTATGCAAGAAAAGAGAAATGGTAATGCAAAACAAGTCAGTATTGGGAAAACAGTGTTTTTTTTTTATGGTGATATCAAAGTGGTTATTTAAAGTCAACGTCAAAATCTCAAAAGAATTGAAAATGATGCAATAAAGCTTATAAGGCAACTGAAATAGTAATAAACATCTCAATTCACCCATTGATAGCATTAAGAATAATTCATTTAATGCAACACTTATGTTTGTTAAGTTGCCAAAATATTGTCTTCTTTATTACAGAAAACTGAGAAAAAAGACAAGCAAAAGGGAGGAAGAAATGACAAAATGACTCCCATTCATCAGTATTTCTAACCAAAGCATTTGTGTGTGTGTAGAGAATATCTATGCACTTTTTATTCAAAATGTGTACTTTAATTCCAGAAGGATCCATTCATTAGAGATTTCTTTTATAACTAGAAAATATTTTAGAAATACATCCCAAATAAATTAATAGGTCCCCAAGACTATGCTTCCTCTGGTCCTCAGACCAAGAATATTTCTTTTCTAACATCTGTGTCTTGTTTTACAGGCTGCTTATGACTTCTTGATATCATGAACCTTTCATTTGTTGTACACATTACCAGGCCAATACGTGTATCAAGGACTTATCAGTAGAGTTCAAGCTTTATTGCCAAAATAATCATGATTCTGACAGAATTGACAAGTTAACTCAGCTGAAACAAAAGATGCCATTTTGGACAAAGAACAAATTGAACCCATGTTCTATGGAGATTCTTCATGAAAATTCTTAAAAGTATGTGTTCAGATTTCCAAAGATAACATTATTAGTCCACTTTAACAACATTGAATAGATTTCACCTGTTTGTATTCATAAACTATTCCAGTTACTTCCACTCCACAGTAATCATACTGGATGCTTCCTGTTTGAAGCTGGCAACAAGGGAGTATGTCTCCCCTTCCATTCACTAGCACCACGGCAGCAGAGGTTCCAGCTAATTAACTGAGCAAGAATTCTAATAGATATGTAGGTGGAAAAGAAGTCAGATCATATTCCAATGTCATGATCACCTACATAAATTTATCAGCATCATAATCAAAGCTCAACATATTAAAATAAAGATTGCAAAACATTGCAAAACACTGAAAGAGGGCATTTTAAAGTACTTTTGAAACACTATAAGGGCATCAAAAGGCAAAGTAACAAGAAAAAAATAACAAATGAAAGAAATGAACTAAGAAGTACAAAGCAATAGCAAGAAATTGAGGGAAACGTAAATAGAGATGTAACAGTGTATTCCTAGAGGCCAAATATAAGCAAGGGCACAGTGAAACCACCAAGCTAGACCAACCCATGGGTAGAAAGATAGGTTTATTGGGGTTCAAACTGCCAAGGCTATCCAGCAGAAAAGGAAGCAGATTTTATATGACAGCAGGGTGTCTTCTTTGAACTGATAAAGGCTGTTCATCTGTTTAGAAATTTAGGACATTATCACCAGTACTGCCAATTGAGGGGGTGGGATACTTTGGACCTAACATCTAGACTTAGCTTTATTTAAAAAATCCACTGAGCAAAATAACTGCATCATAAGATGTGGCTGAGGAAGGCAGGAGAGAACCAAAGGCAGCCCTGGGTTTCTAGCTTGCCCAGCAACACCTCTGATACCATGTCATGCGGCTGGGATGGGCTCCAAGGAGAAAACACTGGCCCCCTGGCGCCTTACAGCACCAGGCAGACAGATACTACTATGGTGAGCAAATACAAGGTATGCTACAAAAGAGACACACACAGAATGATTCCCGTTCTGTGGACAGAAGAATACATCTGAAGAGGTGAAAGAGAGGATCAGACTGAGGAAAGTGGCTTGATTGCCACCCAGGCCACAACGACGTCTGGACCTGAGCTGTTGCTGGGGCCCATGTCTGAGTTCATGGCTCTGACACAGCTGTGGTCTCTACAGATAACACCAAAGGCTGAGAGGATAGAGCTGTACAGATTTGACCACACCCTTCACTGGCCGGAACACTGTAGAAAACTGATCCTGCCTCTCATCAGCTGAAGCACTCAGGAGAGAGGGTCATACAGCTCACGTGGGCAAGACTAGAGAGCTGGCCCTGATGTATGGGAATGCTGACACTAAGGGAGTGAAAGCAGAACTGGCCAGTCCCTTACTCATTGCTGCTGGCTGAACCAGCCCGGGCAATGCTGGAGAGCTCACCCTGGTGGTGAAGATAGGGGAGAGCTGGCAGGCTGACCAACACTGCAACTATCCAGCCCACACCAACCTCCACTCCATCTAATATCTACGTGAAGGGGCTGGTCCTGCAGACCCAAAGCTGCAGGACCTCCATGACATATGGCAACGTTAGGATATCCAAGAGTCCTTCCTAGTAAAGACCCAACATAGATAGTGTAGCAAAAACTACAGGTCTGAAACCGCAATGAACACTTGCAAGTAAAGATATATGGACAAAGAAGTTTACTGTGTGACTCACTGTGTCTCACAACAGCTTTCTTGATGACATTTTTCTCTTTGTTTTCTTTTTTCCTTTTTTCTTAAAAAATTTATTTTATTGGGGGGAGGATGCATTGCAAAGGCAGAGGGCAGATACCAACAGACAGGAAATGAATGGTATCAAGATGCCTTATGTGAAAGACACAAAGAATGAACAAAACACTTAAAAAATGACAAATTAAATTCACTAAGCAAGACACTTTCCCAGGAATAATAAACATATTCAGAAAAATACTGCCAAAATTGCAGGCAGTTTTTATCAAAATAGAATAAAAAGCTCATTTTCTTATTTATGGATCAGTTCCAAAGATCACTGGGATAACAAAGTGAAACACCGGGTGGAGCATCTCTGTGGGGAAGTCATTAAAGACAATGGTACTGGTAGTTACAGGAAGGAAAATCAATGGGCTAAATATCCAAACCTTGGTCAATGTTACCATCCTGTGTGACACACTCTGCAAGGCAGCAGTCCATTCTGACTAATTCGCAAGTCCTGTGCAAGATGCCTGCATCCAGAGAATGGATGTGGTTACTATAAAAGGCAACATAGGTGAAGAAGAAGAATTACAATCAGGACAGAAAGGAAAATCAACCACATTGGAAATGTGCATATTTAATATAATATATCCTGAAACAAAATTTTACTTAGAATGAAACATTTTAGAATAAGAACAGAAAATAAACTAATTGGGATGATAATTTTTAACATGTTCCCTACCAAAATAAAAGTATAAAAGAAATAAAACTGAGAGGAGAAAAAAATGTGTGAAGAAACATAAACACTCCCTTTCAACAAGGTCTTATGTTCCTTTCATTTTGCCTAACTTCAAAGGAAGTAGAGGGTAGATGGAGCATGTGAGGAGGCTTGCTGCTGCATATCTTGAAATCCATTAGCCATGAAGATGAAAATACTTAGAAAGCTTTATCCCCTGTGGTATCAAAACACATTAGTGAGATAAGGATGTCTGCCTGACATCACAAAAATTAGAAGGATATTTATCCCACATAATTTTTAAATCTTTTTTAATCTCTTGGTAAAATTTATTCTAAAATACCAAATGCAGATGGGGAAAAGTACAAAGATTATAGCTGTCATCTTCCTTATGAAGTATCTTCAAGGGCATAAAAGGCAATATGCATGCCTTATGCATACCTGGACCATTCCTATTTGTCTAAACCAAGCGCTCTCTCATGCTAAGTGACTATTAAAGGTAATAGTCGCCATTTCCTTTGACCTGCCTTGACCAGCTTCTTTTGTTCCTGCCTGCAGACATCCCTCCTTTCATCTCAGCTCAGATATAAGGCAAATTCACTATCCTAGACCATTTCTTTGTATAATAA